TCCCGTCTCGTCGTCGTCCCGCTCTCTCTCTCTTTGTTCCACCACTCTCCCTCTACTCTTTCAACATAAACAAACAATGATAATCATGACATGAAAAACATGCTGCGCCTCTGCTTGCTGCTGCTGCTGCTGCTGATGGTGTGCCATGCTAAATGAGGCTCACGCCCAGCGCCTTGCGCACACTTGTGGCGACGGGGAGGCGGAGAATGCTGCTGTGGTGGCGTACCAGCTGCGGGTAGTGCTGCTTCACCACCACGTTGAGCCGCTTTGCCGAGAGTACATAGTTCACGGCGAAGGCAACCACGAGATCTGCCGCGGTGAGGGAGTCGCCGACAAGAAAGAGCATGTCGCTTGACGGGTTGGCGCTCCGCCGCGGCGTGAGTGTAGAGAGGCGCGGCGACATGGCTGATGCGTGTAGCGACGGCCGCGACACCCCGCCATTGGCCTCATTGGTGTTGCTGCCGTTTGCGCCGCCACCATAGGCAGCCGTGCTGCTGCTGCTCCTCTCTGACGGCACCTCGATGCACGTCTTGATGTTATACGTGTGGTAGCCGCGCAGCACCGTGCTCTCCCGTGGCGTAGCCGAGAAGCAGTCCTCCTCCGAGAGCCCATCCTCCACATCGTCGTTCGTGCCGGTGCGGGCGCTGAGCGCAGTGTTGCTGCTGCCGCCAATGCCCCCGCCGCCGGCCAAGAGCTTCAGCAGCTGCTTCTTGAACACCAGCCGCTGCTCCAGCCCATGCAGCCCCTCCTGCAGCCGTGCGAGCGCCGCCTCATCGAGCCGTGGCACGGCACCCTTCGCCTTCGCCTCCGCCTCGACAAGCGGGAATATGTACGGATCCAGCTCCGTCAGCACAAAGTCAAGCCATGCGTCGACCTCCGCCGCCTCCTGCACGCTCTTGCCGTAGAGGATGTACGGCACCATGCACTGCGGTGAGGGGTAGCGCTCGTTGCCGTCCGCCCCGTACGGCCGCTCCGTGCGGGCGATGTAGCGGATGATGGCGTTCGTCTCGAAAAGGTACCCCTCATCGGACTTCAGCGTCGGCACGCGGCCGAGCGGGTGGCAGTTGCGGCGGTACTCCTCCGACTCGTTCTCCACGCCGACGGTGATGGGGACGACCTTCAGTTTCGTGCCGGCGTAGGCCGCCACCAGAAGGATCCGCTGCACACGGTTGTTGTCCAGTGGGCCAATCAGGCTGAGCACCATCTCGCTGCTGCTGCTGC